GGAGTTTCCTGGGGCCAGGCCCCTCGGACCCGCAGTGGGAGCAGAAGGTGATGGTCGATGGGGAGACATTCCTGGGGTGGCAAGACCCTGGGACAGAGAGGACTGTTGTCAGACCCTGGGTGGTGCAGCCTCAGAGGCTGAGGGGCTGTGTGAGCTGGGTGAGGGTCCCAGGGACGAAGCCCCTCGCCCTGCCTATGGCCCAGATCCCTGTGCAGACCCAGGAGGGGTGGGGCTGGCTGGTCGTTGGGGTTCTCCAGGATATCAGCTGCAAAACCCTGTTGGGGAGTGAATGTGTCTCTTTGGGACAGAATCCAGGCCCTGCTCCTGTAATGGCCAAGGGTGTGAATTTGAATCCAGGAAACCTGTCGCAAGAAGGAAAAGATTCCTGAGCTTTGGGTGGCAAAGGGAAGGAGAAGGCTTCTGACCTTTTCTCTAGGAAGTCTGTGAGTTTGCCTGAAAGGGGATTGTGGAGGAATCAGCCGGATGGGCCAGAGATAATTCTGGATGTAAGGGAGACCCAGAAAGAGTCTGTCGTTGCTCAGGAAAGTGTTCCTCTAGAGCAAGCCCTCGGTGAAGAGGGTAAGAGCAGAATTTCTGTGAGGGGTGAATTGTTGCCTAGAAAAGCCCTCGGGGAAAGGAATCCTCATGGAGTCTTTGCAAGCAGTTTACTGCAACTGAAGGGTGTGAAAGTGATTTAATCAAGAAAGTTTCAGTTCCTAACAGCCAGAAATTTTCTGTTGTAAATGGATCCACTGACTTTCCTGTTGAAAGATCCAGTGTGGAGAGCTTTGAGAAAGTCTCAGATGAAGTGAAAGCTGTTAAGAAAGTTAAATGGTCCTATAACCAAGTGGCTGTGTTTGGCCAGCATGTTGGGGAGAAGACCCGATCCCAGTTTGACCCCCTGGGGTTTTGGGGTGGCCAAAGGGCACGGGCCGCAGAAACCTTCCCACATGCGGCTTGCGAGTGCTATCGACCACCCCCGACCTAAGGAAGGGCGTGAAACTGGAAGGGCCTGGTGTAACTCCTACCAAGGAATGGGAGAGATGCTGGGGCATCCATGGGAACTTTGGTGGCTTGAAACTTCCCCAGGTCACTGGCTAAAGTGACCCCGCTCAGTTCGATCTCGAAGGGGGGAGAGATGTCACGAAGTGGGACTGTTCTTAATGTTTCCTCTGAATAGTGTGCGGGTGCCTCAGTTTCCCCTTGGCAGTTCTTAAGTATCTAGGGGGTGGGATAAGGGTGTATGATCATTGCAGAGCCCTAGAGGGCAGGTGTGTGCAGGGGTCTGGACACAGACAATGGCCGACACCCTGTTTCCTGGCAACTGATGGCCTGGGCCCTTCCCCCCCTGCAAGGTGAGAGCTAAAGGGTTGGAGAACAAAGGAATCCGGTGTCCAGGGGAAAGGGACAAAGCCCAGAGGAGGAGGGGCTGGAGGGAGTTTCAGTTTGCGGCTGGCTGGAGACATGGAGTGAAGGGCAGACGTGGTTGTCTGACTCCCTGCCCCCCAAAATGGACCCAGCTGAGGGGTCCCGTTCTCTGCACCTACAAGCTCTGTGTTAGACCATGTCCCTGTCGTCTAATAAACCTCTGTGTTACTGGCTGGCTGAGAGTCACGTCTGTCTGCGAAGTTGGGGGGCAGGACCCTCTGGCCCCCCCAGGACCCCGCCTGGGCGGACTGGCTGTGGGAAGCGCAGGGAGGGGCAGAGGATGCTGAATGCTCCGAGGTCAGACCCAGGAAGGTGGAGCCGGGGGAGCTGTGTGTCCTGCAGACAGGCTGCTCCCCGAGAGGAGACTCCCCCAGAATCCTGCCTGGCTTCATGGGGAGCAGTTCCAGAGCATCAACCGGGGACGCCGTGACACCATCCACCCCCCACAGCCCCCTATCCATCCCCCTCTGCCTCTACCTGCCCCCAATGCACCTCTCTACCCACCCATCCAAACCCCGACAGCCCCCTATCCACCCCCCCCGCATCTACCTATCCCTGTACGCACCTCTCGACCCATCCATCCACCCCCACAGCCCCCATCCATCCCCCCCTCCATCTACCTGTCCCCGTACGCACCTTGCAACCCATCAATCCATCCCCCCACAGCCCCCATCCATCCCCCCCCCTGCATCTATCTGCCCCCAATGCACCTCTCTACCCATCCATCCCCCCACAGTCCCCTATCCACCCCCCCACATCTACCTGCCCCCAATGCACCTCTCTACCCATCCCCCCCCGCATCTACCTGTCCCCGTATGCACCTCTCGACCCATCCATCCCCGCACAGCCCCCATCCATCCCCCCCTCCATCTACCAGTCCCCGTACGCACCTTGCAACCCATCAATCCATCCCCCCACAGCCCCCATCCATCCCCCCCCTGCATCTATCTGCCCCCAATGCACCTCTCTACCCATCCATCCTCCCACAGCCCCCTATCCATCTACTCCCTCCATCCACCTGTCCTCGTACGCACCTCTCTACCCATCCATCCCCCCACAGTCCCCTATCCACCCCCCCGCATCTACCTGCCCCCAATGCACCTCTCTACCCATCCCCCCCCGCATCTACCTGTCCCCGTATGCACCTCTCGACCCATCCATCCCCGCACAGCCACCATCCATCCCCCCCATCTACCTGTCCCTGGACACACCTCTCTACCCATCCATCCACCCCCCCACAGCCCCCTATCCATGCCCCCTCTGCATCTACCTGTCCCCAATGCACCTCTCTACCCACCCATCCATCCCCCGACAGCCCCCATCCATCTCCCCCTCCATCCATCTGTCCCTGTATGCACCTCTCGACCCACCCATCCATCCCCCCCACCATCTACCTATCCCTGTACGCACCTCTCTATCCATCCATCAACCCCCACAGCCCCCTATCCATCCCCCCATCTACCTGTGCCCTTACGCACCTCTCGACCCATCCATCCCCCACAGCCCTCTCTCTACCCATCCACGCGTTCCCCCAACCCCCCATCTCTCTATCCATCCAGCCACCTTTCTATGCCCCCGCACCCCTATCTATGCATCCACCCCCCCACCTCTGTCTAACACATCTCCCCCTCCTTCCTGTTCTTCCAGGGCCATACACCAGGGTCCCTGCGTCTCTCTCTTCCTGAGTCGTTCTCTCCTTCTATCCATCACCCGACCCACCCCTTCCACAGCCAGCGGGCTGCCTCCCCGTCCCCCCACACCAGAGCCACACACTCCCCCCTGCAGTGCATGTGCGCACGGACGCACTCACAGAGGGACTAGTTTGTATGCCAAGAGGTAGAGAAAGCGCCGCGGGGGGGGGGGCGGGTCTGGATCCCAGAGACACACACACATAGAGGAGAAAATTCGATGATTTCAGAGAAACACAAACACTCCACAATTCTAATTCACCCGTGTACACACACCCATTGTGTGGGCCAGTGATATAGGGTAATAGATCCAAACTGCCTGTTCCAGAGATAGGTATGCATCGTGGTAGAAAATTCGTCAATATTCCAGTAGCGTGCCCCCCCCCCACACACACACAAATTGTGTCTACCAGAGATATAAATGGACATGGAGATAAAATATCATTTTCCCAGTGGCAAAACACACACAGATCAAATGTGTGTCTCAGTGTTAAATACACACACATCAAATTGTGTATTCTGATGAAAGACACACAGATCAAATTGTGCATCCCAAAGGTACACACACACACACAGAGACGCTACTCCAGAGATATACACACAGCAAAACAAAAAATTCTGCATTCCAGAGGTGCTCACACACAGACACACAGAGCAGGGCTCATTCCCTCCAGCAGGAGGCAGCAGGGACACACACACAGACACACACACATCAAATTGTGTATCCCATTTGCAAACCCAGATCAGACTGTGCATCCCCCTTGGATACGTGCAGTCAAAGAGAGAAAATTGTGTATCCCTCTGTCTGAGACACACCGGGAGCAAACTGTGCACCCCAGAGGCGCACACCCACCCACCAAATTGCGCATCCCAGTGTCTCTCTTTCACACACACACAGAGATCAGATTGTGCACCTAGTGTTTCATACCCAGAGCAAAATGTGCACCCAGAGGTACACCCCCAAGGTGTGTACACACACACACCCTGCACGGCACAGCCCCTCCAGCAGGGGGTGGCAGGGTCACCCCCCCCCCGCAGGGCACAGCCCCTCCAGCAGGGGGCGGCAGGGGGACACATACCCCCCCCGCAGGGCGCAGCCCCTCCAGCAGGGGGCGGCAGGGTCACACAACCCCCCCCGCAGGGCGCAGCCCCTCCAGCAGGGGGCGGCAGGGACACACATACCCCCCCCGCAGGGCACAGCCCCTCCAGCAGGGGGCGGCAGGGACACACATACCCCCCCCGCAGGGCACAGCCCCTCCAGCAGGGGGCGGCAGGGGGACACATCACCCCCCCCGCAGGGCGCAGCCCCTCCAGCAGGGGGCGGCAGGGGGACACATCACCCCCCCGCAGGGCGCAGCCCCTCCAGCAGGGGGCGGCAGGGTCACACCCCCCCCCGCAGGGCGCAGCCCCTCCAGCAGGGGGCGGCAGGGACACACATACCCCCCCCCCCGCAGGGCGCAGCCCCTCCAGCAGGGGGCGGCAGGGACACACATACCCCCCCGCAGGGCGCAGCCCCTCCAGCAGGGGGCGGCAGGGTCACACCCCCCCCCCCCCGCAGGGCGCAGCCCCTCCAGCAGGGGGCGGCAGGGTCACACCCCCCCGCAGGGCGCAGCCCCTCCAGCAGGGGGCGGCAGGGACACACCCCCCCCCGCAGGGCGCAGCCCCTCCAGCAGGGGGCGGCAGGGACACACATACCCCCCCCCGCAGGGCGCAGCCCCTCCAGCAGGGGGCGGCAGGGACACACATACCCCCCCCGCAGGGCGCAGCCCCTCCAGCAGGGGGCGGCAGGGTCACACCCCCCCCCCGCAGGGCGCAGCCCCTCCAGCAGGGGGCGGCAGGGGGCCGCACACACACTCCCCCCCTCCGGGCCGGGCACTGCGGTACCTCGGCAGAGCAGGACCAGCCCCAGCCTGCAGAGCAGCCAGCCCGGCCAGGCGCCCCCGCTCATCGCGCCGGCGGCTCCCCCTCGCGCGCTCCGGCTCCGGCTCCGGCTCCGGCCCCGGCCCCGGGGATGCGGCAGGACGGGACGGGACGGGACGGGACGGGCCCGCGGGGTCCAGCCCACCAGCCCTGGCGCACCAAATCCGGGGCTGCGGGGGGAAGGGGGGGAATGGCTGGAATGTTAACAGACAGCTGATCGAGGGGGAGCGACCAATCAGGGGCCAGGAGCAGGAGGGGCGGGGCCAGGCACGCAAATGAAGCCAGAGGAGTGGACCAATGGGAGAGGGGAGAGCCGGGGGGGGCCGGGGGGGGCGCTGATTTATGAGGCGTTCTTTGTTACTGCAGCACTGCTGGGGGGAGGGGCCGGGGGAGCTCCCCGCACCTGGGATCCCCCCCCGCAGCCCCTCCCCCCATCGCCAGCCCCAGCGTCACAGGGGCTGGGGGGAACCTCATTGCCCCCTCCAGCCTCTTCTCCCCCCCACCGCAGCATAGCGCCCCCCCCGGGCATGGGGGCCAGCCCTGACTGCTAGGGGAGAGCCCCCCCCACCCCCTGCCACACAGCGCCCCCGCCCCCCAGGGGCTGACTGCCCCCCCACCTCGCCCCCTGCGGAACCCCCCCTCCCGGCGACCAGGGGCTGACTGCCCCCCCACCACATCCCCTGCACCATCGCCCCCCAGCCCCCGCCGCTCAGGGACTGACTGCCCCCCGCCCCACCTCGCCCCCTGCGCCATCCTCGTCCCCCCCCCCCCCGCCGCTCAGGGACTGACTGCCCCCCCCCACCTCGCCCCCTGCGGAACCCCCCCCCCCCCCCCCCGGAGACCAGGGGCTGACTGCCCCCCTCGCCCCACCAGGCCCCCTGCAGCATCGTCCCCCCACACCTCGCCCCCTGCGGCACCCCCCGGAGACCAGGGGCTGACTGCCAGGGGAGCATATTGATTGTTCTTTCTCTGCCTACGCGGGGGCTGGCGATGCTAATTACCTGGGGTTTAACTCCGCCTCCTAACCCCGCTCCTGAGCCGGGAGGCCAGGGGGATGGGCAGAGGATCCTCAAGAGGGGCAACTTCCACACACTGATGAGGGGTGAATGTTTCCCAGGAGGATGCAGGCTGGAAGATTTTAACTGTCCTGTTTACTAGGTGTATTACAGTAGCCCTGCCAACGCGATTGGGCCCTGTGGTGCTGGGGCCCCATTGGGCCAGAGACAGACCCTGCCCCAGCTGAGATCGGGCCCCCTATGTAGGATGCTGCTCAGACAGAGCGAGAGCCAGCCCCCAAATAGAAAGAGGCAGGAGTATGCTCCCTGCGTTATGGGTGGGGAAACTGAGGCACAGAGTGATGCTGTGATCTGCCAAGGTCACACAAAAAGTCTGTGGAGGAGACAGCAGTAGAACCCAGGAGTCCTGGCTCCCAGACCCCACTCCCTTCCCGTGGTCAGGAATAGAACCCAGGAGTCCTGGCTCCTAAACCCCACTCCTCTCCCCTTCCCGGGCTGGGATAAAATCCATGAGCCCTGGCTCCTAGACCCCCTGTTCTAACCACTAGACCCCCCGCCCCTCCCAGCAGCTGCAGTGGGTCAGGGAGTCCAATTTTGTGACCGTTAATAACATTTGTTACCATGGCAACAAGGCTAATGATGGAGGCAGGGTAATCAGATGTCCTGCCGTAGGGGGAAGTCGGTTACCCATACTGGGGTGGGGGGCAGGGAGCTAGGACTCCTGGGTTCTATCCTGGCTTGGCCGCAGAGTGGGGTCTAGTAGGCTAGAGCAGGGGAGGGCTGGGAGTCAGGATACCTGGGTTCATTCCCCAGCTCTGGGAACGGGGCGGAGGGTAGTGGTTAGAGCTAAGGAGAAGTGAGGATTCTTATTTCACCTACATGTTCATGGTAAGTCCCTTGGTGAAGGACTTTATGGAACTGCTACCACTTCCCTTTCTAGTTTAACTGTCCCAGTAATTCTCGGCTCTCCCCGGCGGGTCTGTTACCCAGACCCCAGCCTTGGGGCTGGGACCCTGCGACCCCCAACAGGACCCCAATGCTCCTGGGAAAACAGCCCCCCAACCACAGGGTACACAACAGCACCGGGAACTGGGAGGGGAGTGGGGTCTAGTGGTTAGAGCAGGCAGGCGGGCGGGCTGGGGGCCAGGACTCCTGGGTTCTAGCCCCAGTTCTGTGCAGCAGTTCCACCAGCTTTTGTTCCCCTAACAGCCATGGTGCGTGTTCAGCTTCCCTGCTCCAGTTTTCGGCCCTGACTATTTCTCTGACCCAGATGAGAAATGGGCCTCGGCAGGTGGCCCGGCAGCTCCCGGTATCCTGGCACCGGGGGGGGGCTCAGTCACCAGGCAGGACTGAACCCAGCCTCCCCCTCCTAGAGCTGAGGAACTGGAGGCACAGAAAAGGGAAGCAATTGCTGCAGGTCACCCAAGGAGCCCCAAAGGGAACCCAGAAGTCCTGATGCCTAGCTCCCACTTGCTCCAACCACTAGACCCCACTCCCTCCCCAAAGCTGTGGACAGAATGCAGGAGTCCTGGCTCCCTGTGACTGTAACCACTAGCCCCCACTCCTCTCTCAGGGATAGAACCCAGGAGTCCTGGCTCCCAGCCCCCAATCCTCTAACCCACTAGCCCCCACTCCCCTCTCAGAGCCAGGGATAGAACCCAGGAGTCCTGGCTCCCAGCCCCCAATCCTCTAACCCACTAGCCCCCACTCCCCTCTCAGAGCCAGGGATAGAACCCAGGAGTCCTGGCTTCCAGCCCGCCCCCAGCTCAGATCCATTCTGTCTCCCGTTGCGGCACTCAATTCAATTACGTTTATTACCCACAAACAGCAAATATAAACAACCAGGAATAATTGGGAGCATCGCCGTGCTGGTTTCATCTTGACTGGAAGCCCTGGGGTGATTGACTTGGGGAGGGGGGAGTCATGGGGTTGAGGTGGGGGGGGGGTTGTGAGGTGCGGGAGTGCCACACACACACACACACACACGGCCAGGTTATACCTCTCAGACCCCAGGCTCAGGTACCCCTGCAGGAATAGCAGGGGGCTGTGGGTCAGGAGTGAGGGGCACCGGCAGAGCTGGGGGGCGGAGCCCAGGGCTGGGCTGGCGGGGGGCTGCGGGTTGGGAGTGAGGGGCACCGGCAGAGCTGGGGGGAGGGGGGAGCCCAGGGCTGGGCTGGCAGGGGGCTACAGGTCGGGAGTGAGGGGCACCGGCAGAGCTGGGTGGGGGAGCCCAGGGCTGGGCTAGCCGGGGGCTGCGGGGCAGGAGTGGGGGGCATTACGCGGTGTGACTGCCAGAACCAAACCTATTGCCTCTCACAGGCCCTGTTTAAAGGACACTCCCACCCCCAGCCCCAGAGCCCAGGCCAGCTGTTTCCTAGCCCCAGCCCTGCTCCTGCCAGCCCCTTAGCTCACTTTCAGTTTCAAGTTACAGCAAAGGGGGAACCTGGACTCCGGTTCCTCACATCTTCCCAGGCCTTGCTTGGGGCCGCAGCTGCAGAGCTGGGTCAGGCAGGGACAGATCCAAGGGCCCTGATCTCCCACCGCCTGGCTGGAGGTGAGTCCGGCCGGCAGGTTCCTGGGTGGGTGGTAGGAAGGCTCGAAGCCTGGCAAGAGACAGGCGGACTGGGTTGGGTGGCGGGGGGACAGGGAGGCAAAGAAAAGGCGGGTGCAGGGGTGGGCGTGAAAACCGCCACCCATGTCTCATGGCTCCAAGAAGGCTGATTCCCCGCATCTCCCGGCTGGGAAGGACCCAGGAGTCCTGGGGCACCAACGGCCCATGAGCTCCCCCAGCAATGCTGTGGCTAAGAGGGCGAGCACACTCCTCAGCTGGAGAAGCCGGTGAATAGCGAGTGGGAGCCAGGAGGTGGGGTCCTCTCTGGATACAGTATGGGGGAACGCTATGACTGGAGACTGCGCCCAGCTATGGGGGGCCACACATCAAACAGGTAGTCAGAAAATCATGGAGGGCTCAGAGAAGAGCAACGGGGACAATCCGAGGGCTGGAAAACCTGTCTGAGAGCAGAGACTGAAGGAGTTCGATCTGTGGAGTTTGTCCCAGAGACGGCTCAGAGGGGACTAGATCCCGGTCTGTCAGCTTCTCCCTGGGGAGAAGATTTCAGGGAGTAGAGGGCTGGTTAGCCCAGCTGGGCCAGGCAGAGCGAGAGTCGATGGCTGGGGTGTGAGGCCAGACGAATCAAGACTGGAAATAAGGGGCAGATTTTCCCCAGAGTGGGGAACAGATCCTTGGAGCGACTGTCCCAGGGACAGGCAGATTCTCCATTCTTGTGCTTTCCATCGAGAGCAGGTGTCTCTTGCGGCAAGCTCAACCATCAGATATGGGCTGGATGGAGGAGTCCCTGGTTCTCTGGCCTCGGCTACGCAAGAGGTCAGATGGGATGATCAGAACAGGAATAGAACCCAAAAGTCCGGACTCCCAGCCTCATGCCCCCCCAATCAAATCCATGACCCAAGCAGGAAGGGCCAGGGGGTGTGATTGACATGTGGCAAATCTGACACCAATCAAATCCAATTTCGAGACCATCGACCTGTGGAACACCTTGCCGCTGGATGCTGCCATGGCCAATTGCTCAGCCAAAGGAAAGGATGTTGGGTCAGACGACAGGGAATGCCTGGAATTAAAGCGGTGGCCTGGGGGACTCTGTGCCACAGGAAACTCATTGCCAGTCACAGCGCAGAAGAAAGCAAGAGGTGTTCCTATGAGGCCAGCTGCGTGTCTGTCAGAGGTCAGGGAAGTCACAGGTTCCATGACTTTCCGTGACCTCCGTCACTTCTGCAGCCACAGGTGCTGGCTCAGGGGCTGCCCGGGCCAGACAACCCCTGGGCCAGCAGCAGCAGCAGCTTGGGTATGGGAGGAGGCTCAAGGCTGGGGCAGGCAGTTGGGGTGCAGGGTAGTGCTTACCTGGTGGGGGGCCTCCCCCCGGCATGTCCCTGCAGCTCCTAGGCAGAGAGGCCAGGGAGCTCAGTGGACTGCCAGCCCCGCCAACCCCACCCCCCAGCGCTAGTGGGGGTCCTGGGCCACTCCTGAGCACCTGCTGCACCCCCCCCCCCGAGCACCCTAAGCCCAAGGTTT